ATTTAAAAATCATAGAGGAAATAATTACAGAACTATAGGGTACAGTAAGCTTTAGCTGTATCTATTCCAGTCTAGCCAGCCTCCTGTTTTTACATATAAAGAAAATACGACATTGTTCAAATATAGATCTCTGGCCAGTGCTGTTCTTCCCACACAGTGTTAGCTCTCATAATGATCATGTATATTTTATAAGCTCCACATTTGTCATATTTGTTTTTAGCATAATGTTTGTTTTTTAACATAAATGTAAATAGCACATACCTTTGGATAAGCAGTACCAAAGTCAAATCATAAAACTTGGGAAGCTGAAACATATGACTTTGGAGTAAAAGGATAGCACTGGAACATGGTAAAAAGGACATCTGAAATAACTGTTAGTCACCATTACCCAAATTTAGGAGAAGCCTTGAAATGTGAAAGAACTGAACTGTGTCTTTCAATATCTCATCTATATTTAAAGCCGGGAGTGAGATCTGAAAAGCTAGGTAAGGCAGTAAAATAGGGAAAATGTTTGCAATACGTATGAGAACTCCTGATAACAAATAATAAAAATGACCTACCCTTAGGAATACACAAGTATATAAACAAGTGGCCCACTAATAACAACAAAAAATACAAATAACCTTTAAGTTTTTGAGAATACTAAATTTTATTCATAATTAAAGAAGGTAAAATGAAAACAAAAGTGAGACACCATTTATGTCTTTCCTAATCTGCAAAGATACAAAAGTTAGCAAAGGTATGGAAAAACCAGTAGGCTCATGCATTATTGCCGGGAATGTAAGTCATTCTAACTCTCTGGCAATTTCTATCAAAATTTAAAATGCATATTTTCTCTGACCCAGTAGTTCCATTACCATGAATGTGCACAAAAGTACATGTAAAAGAATGTTCATTGCAGCCTTTTTTGGTAGCAAAAGACTGGAAACTACCTTAGTATCCATCAGTAGGAAATCGGTTAAATAAATCATGCTATATCTATAAAATGGATTATTGTTCAGCCAGTAAAAAGAAGCTGTGTACAATGCAGAAATGATTTCCTATCCTCAATGAGCTTATATGTACGAGGGAGAATCTCTCATATGCGTCATGCATCTAGGTAGACTCTATCTGGAAAGATACACAGTCATCCAATGACATGAAGTGGTCCTGGGAAGGAGGCCTGAGGGTCAAGGATGAGGAGATTTCTTCTCATTCTGTAATATATTGTACTGTTTAAATTTTTCACCGTGTGCATCTATTAATTTTTCCGAAACTAAAATTTTAAAAGACACCAAATTAAAAGTGGAGCAAATAGATGAATTTTAGAAATGGGCAATCTGTCAGAGGGACAGTTTTGATATTTCATTCTCAATTAAGTCCTTGCTTCCTATTGCTTTGTAAGGATGCTAAAGAATCTTTAACACCTCTTCATTCTATTTAGAGTCCTTGGTAACTCCACCTCTTTGAAATATTGAGTATATAATTAAAGTAATTAAAGGTTAATTTTCTCCAATAAAATATTGTCAGTAACTCCCAAATATTTCATTGAAATGTCATGCCCTCTTTGAGGCTGTTGTTTTACTCATTAAGAGTAGTGATTCCCTCGCCTCTTCTTCCCAGCAAGAACAAGGGATCACTGCTCGAAACTGGATTGGAGGGAGGTTAGTGTGTAAGTCAGGCCCAGTCAGACTTAAAATTTCTCAAGAGACAGTTTCAGATAAATACAGCTTCGTTTTAATGCTTTTTACCAATCATTTGATCCCAGCAAAATAGCTCCCACTGAACTGTAATTTGTATATTCTATTTTTAATTGTAGAGGAAGTGAGAAGAGAAATAAAAAATTGAAGATAAATAAAATTGAATGCAATACTTGTCCTAAAAATGTTGTCATAGGTTGAAGCCGATTCTAGGCAACATGATAACAGGCGACGTTTGCCTTTCAGTCTCTTTAATCTCATTTTCAGAGTTTCCTTCTCTTGTGTTGTCCCATCAGATGCCTCCACATTCTGCCTACTACCAGAGCATCTGCTTCCCTATCAGCCTACTCCCACATCCCTCATCAATAGATGCTCATCTAGAGTCCTATTACCTTAAGGCAAATGACTACTTACTTTATCCTTTTTGTAAACTATGCTTGAATGACTACACAAGCTGCCTAACCTATTATTAAACCAAAAACCCTTGCTGTGGAGATGTGGAAATTTGACTTGAAGTTGGTTCATATTCAATTTGAAGTGTCTCCAAAAAATATCAAAATAATGAATTTCACTAGTAACACCACCAACACTTTCATTTTACACATAGAGGAACTGAGGCCCAAACAAAAGTGTGTTGTTTAGAATGTAATTAACTGCAAGTTTACCTGCACTATAATAGCTTGGATTAGATTACCGGTATTTAAAAAGTTGCAGTGTAGACCATAAGTAACTGCTTAACAAAACTTCTTGATCAAATAAGCTTTTAAAAATAAGTTATTAAGAACTAACATAAGTTATAACTTTGTTTTAGGTAGTACTTGAAGAGGTCTTTCTTCTGCACAATGTCCTTGCCTCATGTCGCAGAACACCCCTGCATGTCTTGAAATGCATGTGACTTGTTTGTGCTTTAATTAACAGTACATGTGGTATGTATAGATTCTTCACATTAACTCCTATGTCTTTGATCTACTTCTCTAAATACAAGTAATCTATAGCAAATGCACATTTCTCTTCTTTATACTTTAGTTTTTTGCAAGAAAAAAGAATTGGCAATGTTTTCTATGTTTATAGTAGAATTGTTCAGAAACATCAACCTGTAATATTTTTTCTTAAGAAATTTGAATTTGTATTTGGAATTTGTTTTTAATTATTGTTTTATTATAAGAAGATCGTAACTGGACAGAATAGGAATGTGTTTTAAAAAGTGATCATTGAGTCAATCTCTAGCTCTTTTACTCTAAAATCAGGTAATAGGTGCTGCTTTGGTTGGGATGGTCACATTAGTCATGTGACGCACAGGAAGATTCTTTTATGTCCTGGCTTTGAGATGACTAATGATGGTCTCTCCTTTTGTCTGTAACTTTCAAATTCTTTGGCATATATAAGCACTTTAGCAAGAATTCTGTGTGTGTGTGTTTTATTAAGGAAATTACTATTTTCTTAAAAGAACAAAATTAGCCATTTTAAAAATAAAGGATAGTTGTCATTCATTCAACAAATATTTGAGTGATAAGAATCAGGCATTCTTAAAGACTCTAGGAATATACCAGTGACACAAACCACCCACTGCCTCTTACCAAGTCATTTCTACATGTTATTTTAATGAAATGAACATCTGAAATAGCCAAAGCCTACTACTAAAATCATCTGTGATATCAGTTAATAGATTAACTTTATTAAGGAGATCTATTCAACTTAATACTTAAATTTTTTATTGTGTTTAGAAATTTCTTCATGAAATTGTTATTGGTTTATTCTGTCATTACACTTTATTTTTAATATCTATAAAGAATTTGAAAGATAAACACATTTATATATATGTTTTCTTTATGCTCCCAAATAACTATACAAAATCATTTTCTAAAAGATTACTGATCTATGCTTTCAGATTTTTCTACCCAGGCATTTCTTCTCTGTACTAACTCTCTCCTTTAAAATGATGGGTATATTAATAAAAATTATATGACTTATATTTATTTTCATTTAATTAGGGAATAATAGTCCCCTAAGTTCTTAGAACTGACAATTTAGAAACATATGGAAAAAATTCTAAAAAGTATTCAGAAAACAATTTTTATATATATAAAATAATATAATCATAATGCTGTAATGGCTACTTGTGAATAAATATTTGAACATTATCTTCATGTAAGTTAAACTGTTAAAATGTATACTTTTAGCAGAAGGCAAGATTCCACCTGATGCAACATTGATTTTTGAGATTGAACTTTATGCTGTGACGAAAGGACCACGAAGTATTGAAACGTTTAAGCAGATAGATACAGACAATGACAGGCAACTCTCCAAGACCGAGGTAATTTAAACAGATTTTGTATGTACAGCCTAATTTTTTATCACACTTTAAGTACATTTTTGTTACAACTCTTATTTTTTTACTTCTACCTAGTATGGACTGATTACTTAGCTTTTAATAGAAGAGCTGGTTACAAAAAAGTCGGAGCTCCAAGAAGAAAATATGCTTTTTCAAAACAAAACTTAGTCATCCTGTTCAATTTCTTTTCTCCCTACAAGAGGGCCATTACAATACCATACTAATCTCTAGGAGGCATTTCCAGCATCTAGACTATAGGAGCAGATCTCTTTTAAGCAGCACTGTCGGAATGTCTAACAGGGCAAGTAATTCCCACCTCCTAGGATTGTGAGGATTAAATACATGAGGTTATGAAAAAAGTTAGCAATAATTTAAATTGTGTGGATTGGAAAGTTAATAAACAGGACCCAGGAGTTCAGCTACCTAGCTTCTGCATTCCAGTTAGTCTTATATATGAATTAAGGAATTAATAAAGATCTTGTAATAATAATTTTTCATACTTTCTCAGTACCAGGTATAGTTATAAACCCAGTAGTGTGTGACCTTGACAATATATGAGGTAGACACTATTGGCATCATCTCCATTTTATAGAAGGTGCAAATGACACCCAGACAGGTTGCTAAGTAACTAGTTTAAGGCCACAGCTGTAAGTGGCAAAACCAGACTGCAAACCCAGCAATCTGACTCCACTACTGTGTTCGTCATCATGAGTCCACCTTGCCTTTTTCAGGGACTTGACATCATGAATGTTTCAAGGCTAATGTTTATTTCATTAAGTCTGGTGCCTTGTCTCCCCTCCCATTTGGAGGCAGTTTAACATGCATAGCTCTTATCACTTAAATAATAAAAGGCAACTGGGGTCCAGCCGGGTGTGGCTGAGCACTTGAGCATAGGTCATGAGTTTGATTCCCTGTCAGGGAATATGTCTGGGTTGCCAGCTCAATCCCTAATAGGAGGCAGCCTATTGCTGATTCTCTCTCATCATTGATGTTTCTCGCGCCCTCTTCCTTGCTCTCTGAAATCAATAAAAATATATTTTAAAAAATAAAGAAGCAGCAATCACTTACAAAAAAATAGGCAACTGTGTCATTGATTCAGTGATAAAAACAGTAAGACCCTTTTCTGTTTCTTTTTCTCTTCCTTCTCCAATCGTTTGCCTACCCTAATTCTACTTCCTCCTCCAAGATCTTAATAAGGACTTTTTCCTGAAGCTCTTTGGTTGATCAATAACAGAAGAAAGATAAGAGAAGGGGAACATGCCCCTCTCCCTAAGAGTAGCGATTAGAGGCATGGCAAACTGTTCCCCCTACAATACTTTCTGTCGACTCATCACCCTTTTTAGAACAAACAGCAGCTGCAGATGAATTCACATAGTACTCAAGAGTTCAGCCTGTGCACACCACTCAATATCACCTGTACACCAACAGACACGTTCTTCAGTATGGATACTCCTCAGTAGACCTTAGGGGATCTTCAGTTCTTTTCTGAAAAATAGAAATAGAGAAAGTCCAAAATAGAGACCTGCTTACCTACATTTTGCGCAGATTTGCCTACATTCTTGGGTAGAGGGGATTAGTTGCATTATAACTAGATAGGTAAGAGTGATTTTAATGTGCTCGATTTTCATAATCATCGCTATCTTTCCTTGACACCTGTAAACATGACTTTAATCTTCACGTCAATTCTACAGTATAGATTCTATTTCCTTCCTTTTTTTCAAATATATTTTTATTGATTCCTTCCTTTAACAGATGACAAAACTGAGGTTCAGAGAGGTTAAATTATTTATCCAAGACCACACAACCAGTACATGGCAAAGCCTAGATTTCAAACATGAGCTAAAATAAACTACAGTGGGGCCTTGACTTATGAATTAGCTCGTTAAGGAGCTCATTAACTCAAATTACTCTGTCAACTCAATGCAAAAAATCGGCCGAGAGACAGCTGGTATCTCAAAAAACTCGTTAGTTGGGACACTCATAAGTCAAGGCCCCACTGTACTTTCCTTCATCAGCAGAAAGATTTAGTTATTTCTTCAGTTTAAGTCAGGTGGGGGAGTAGGGGAATACAGCGTTTTTAATAAATTACAAAGTGGAAATAGTATGGACCCCATTGCCGGCAAAATTATGCACTGCCTTTTGGTACCTCTTCACTGCAATGTATTAGAAAAGTACATTTGGATAGTCAACAATATTGATGCGGAAGATATATTTTATTTATTTAGAAACTGAGGAATATTTTATGCTATTTAAAATTCTTTATAGCTACATAGAATTTCTAAGTCTCACTTGGAAGAAAATGTATCTTCATCATATAGGACCAAGGTCCCATTTGAGAACAGTTGATAGATCCATTAGTCATTCTGATTGAAGTCTACCAGCTAAGGCTTGCATTTGGGATATGGATGCTAAAAACCTCTCAGGGTTCAACTTTAGCTTTTACATATACTCTTGCCTCTACAATGTCCAGCTGAACGTTTTTTCTAGATCATTGTGCATTGATTTCTTTATATATATTAATGCTTTCTAATGGAAATATAATTGAGTCCCACCACATCTTTAAAAAAAGAAACAGGTGAAATTAATTGTAATGATATGTTTTGTTTAATTCAGTATATCTAAAATATTACCATTTTACATTATATCAATATAAAAATTGCCAAGTTATTTTTATTACCTTTAAAATTTGTTGTGTATTTTACCCTCAAGTAGCATATCTCATTTTTATTTAATCATACTTTATGTGCTTAGTAGTCGTCTGTGGCTAGTACTTGCTATGTTAGGCAGTGCTTATAATAATGTCTTTGCTTAGAGAAATATCGTATTACATAGAGAAAAAGAAATACTTCAGAATACCTGTTCTTTATTTGACATATTATTAGAGAGATTGTTGTACTTTGTAGATTTGGAAGAACTATAGAAGCATAGAACAATTAAGAAAATTATAATTTAAAACCTGTGGTTGGTTTTATTGATTATGCAACATATTTATTAATTTTAGAGATCATAGAAACACCAATTTGTATTTTATTTTATTTTTCTTTTTTTAAAAATATATTTTATTGATTTTTCACAGAGAGGAAGGGAGAGAGACAGAGAGTCAGAAACATCGATGAGAGAGAAACATCGATCAGCTGCCTCCTGCACACCCCCCACCGGGGATGTGCCCGCAACCCAGGTACATGCCCTTGACCGGAATCGAACCTGGGACCCTCCAGTCCGCAGGCCGACGCTCTATCCACTGAGCCAAACCGGTTTCGGCCCAATTTGTATTTTATTCATTAATGAAAATCCTTGAGAGTGAGTTTTCTTTGATAATGTGGACAGTGTAGATTATTGGAAAGCATTTAGTTTCAACAAAATTCAATTCATATATTAATCTTTGAACATATACCACTAACCGTCTATAACCTCAGGGGAAGATCGGTTTCTCTTCAGAGAATTGCTTCAAAGGTTAAAAAAACAAGACCTCAAACAGCTTTTTAAAATTTTATTTCACTTATTATAAGCATTCTTCCTTTTGAGTTTCTTTATGAAACATTTCTTCAAAGTTACTAGAAATGTATTGTGAATTCTTCTTATTAATGAAATGTTATTTTGGCCCTCTAGATAGATCAGTACCTGAAAAAGGACTTTGAAAAAGATGATAAGCCACGTGACAAGTCATATCAGAATGCAGTTTTAGAAGATATTTTTAAGAAGAATGACCATGATGGTGATGGCTTCATTTCTCCCAAGGAATACAATGTATATCAACATGATGAACTATAGCATATTTTTATTTCTCAATTTTCTTAGCTGCTTACTGTACTTTATATATAAAACAAAGTCACTTTCTCCAAGTTGTATTTTCTACTTTATCCCATGAGAACATATTTTGATCTCAATACATGTAACTTTGGAATAAAAGTGAGGCTATTTTGCAAATTTAATTCTGTAAACGTGAGTTGCAGCACCATGAAACTGACCTGTGTGTCCCAGTGGGCAATTTTCCTGCTTCAAGAGATAGGAGGACATCTATGGCAAAATCTACAAAACTCTTCCCAACTCTAACCTAACAACATGTGCACATGTTGTAAGTAACCATTTTCTAATGTTTTAAATGTTAAAATGCCCGTATTTTTAAATTTTTCAATAGGGACCAAGGAATTAACATTTCACTGTTTATACCTCTCGTACCATACGAGTAGGTAGTAGTATGTAAAAAGCATAGAACTGAAGAGTCTAGTTTTGGTGTGCATGCAGGAAAATATAAGTTGTATAAAACCCTGTCCCACAGAGAGCCTCAACACGGTCTCTGTACTTTTTGGTGCAAGCTTCTGACTTTATATATTTGTTCCAATGGGGAATTGTTAAAGATGTTTGATCAAATCGTGCCTCGTATAGCGGACATAATACAGTCTGGACTGCTCTGAGTCTGGTACTCCTTTAGACATCAGGATAAATGTGCTACTCCTCTTCCTTCTCATAGGCTTTTATATTTACCATCCCTAACTTTTTGTCTTGATTTTAAATTGATATCATGGTATTGCTTAGTTTTCAGTTCCTTCTCTCTAGTATCTCTATCCTATGTCACTTCATTTCACAATGATTTTGTTATTAATCATGAGTGAACATTACAAACTGACATGCCATTAAATTTTTGATAAAAGTATAGAATTTATTTTCCACGAGGATACATGAGAATATCAAATAATAGAAATGAGGATTCATAATTATCTCTCAGAACTATATGTTAAATAAATGTTTTAAACATTTTCAAAGGAGAAAAGAAATAAATGTACGATGGCAATTTTGTGTCATGGTCAAATCATGACATGGTACAACTTGTGGAGAAAAAGAGGTAAGAGATGCTGTAGATGCAGTTGGTACCAAAGAAAGGGCACATGTTTAGTGGAGCATGTAAGGTTTAGCCTACTGCATGTGTAGGAAGGAATGGTCAGGCCGTAAATAGCTCTATTCAAAACAGGTGAGTTCAAAACAAAGCTTTTCCATTTTCTGAAACTTGCTCTTTCCAAACCACTGTATCTTGTAACCTATTTCGATATACTGCCAGAAAGTCTGTTACTTAAAAGTGTAGGGATAACACAAAACCCACCAGATTAGTAGTGTCACATAGGCATAGCACAGAGTTTGACACTTCATAAAACAAAAACATTTACTATTTTTTCTTCCTGCCAATATTGCATCATTCCTCTGCCCTATTTTATAACTTCTCACTTGCTTAGGCAATTCTTAATCTCTTTACTTTCTTCAGAAAAACCTGCTCAGTGGAAGTAAACTAAGTTGGTAATATTATGCTTTGGTTTGAAACTGCCCCCACTTTCTTTATATAAAAAAGTCACTAGACCCTTGTTTGGTCTGTATCCTCATATTTGCATTTGAATCATATACTGTGTCTAAAATAAAATACAGTGACAAAAGATATAAATGGAAATTATCAGATAATACAAACTATAATTCTAACCTTTTTGTCCCATTGTTTTCATACAAAGTGCCTTTAAACTTATCTTTTAAAAGATTATAATTGATGTTAAATGAATACGGAGATTGATTCTGAAACTAATCACACTTAAATAATTAAAAAATAAAATTTTAATCATTCTACATGCTTTAGTGCACAAGTAGTTCGTATTCACATGATTGCATTATGCCTTCATAGGCATATACCTAGTAATGGGTGATGTAATTGTACACTGTGAGTTCTAGAATTTGAATATGTTATTTTTGTGGTTATTTTCATAAGGGTATACAGTAAATTTTAGGTTGTTTATGACAAATTTCAGATCTCTTACAGAGTAGATGAAAAAGATCTCTTAGAACTAAATATGTTAAATGTTTTAAACATCTTCAGGGAAGAAAAGAAATAAACATTTCCTAGCTGTCTTAACTTTAAAATGACAGCAGTTTTATAAAGCCAAAACTAGCGAGCTTATGTACATAGCAGCCCATTACTACTATCAGTCACCCTGTTAACTGTACACAATGCCCCACACTGAGCTCAGTGTGCTTTTAACTTGATACTGCAATTAAACACTTAGGTTACATTAAATTATTAACACATTTTTCTCATTTTACCAGAAATAGGGCAATAGTTAAAGCACCATAAAGTCGCCGCTTGTGCACTCGTTTCATCTTTAAATGTTAATTAAAACCCAATTAAAAATAAAGTTGGTATTTCAAAAAATCTCTATGTAAGAAGTTACCTAAATGATAAACTAAATCCCTAAAATACTTATAACATGGTGGCAGATTTTATGGAGGAGCATCTACATTCTTAATTTTATATTTAAGCCTTTTTTTCATATAAAAATATTAACCTTCATATAAGTTATGAGGAGACTGTTACCACCTCCACTTTATACATGAAGAAAATGATGCCCAGACAGGTTAATTTCTTTCCCTCTTTAATTTGCCACAATTCATTTTGGAAAGGTATGTGGCACAGCTGCACCTTAAACACCAGCAGAGTGCATTCATTTTTCATTTTATTTCATTCTCTTGTGCCAAATATCAAAACAAGGAACTGCATGAAGTCTCACGTACTTCTGCCCATCGACAGAGCACTGAAAGCACCCATAAACCGTCTCCCTTTTTAAGTTCCCCATCCCACAGAGTATGCAAGGTCCTTTTGGAATGTTGTGATTAAGTAAGTTAACACGGATGTGAGTCCCCTCTTTGAGTGAAATATCAGTCATGCTGAAACGTTTATCATAGTAGTCAGTAAAAAGGTCGTCTAAGTAAAGCTGGGAACGAGAAATGACGTCCATCACTCTTCTATCTAAAGACAGAAACAGAAATGTGTCAGAAGTCAAATAAAAAATAAAAAAAACCACATAGAACCAAGCTGCATTTAAAACCATGTGAATCTAAGCCATCAGTCATGAAATAATTTGGCTTTTAAATTTAAATTCTTAACAGGATTACTAATAGACAACCTCAAGTATTGACCCCAGAAGAAAAAGAATATATTTGAAATACTCTTCAATGGACATGGACATACTTCTTTCAAATAGTATGTTTCTCAGTCTGTAGAGCACGGCAAACGTGGCTGTCTCTTCCCTTTCAAATCCTCCTTTTGACACTGAAGTAACACAAAGGTCTATAAAAGAAATTTAGAAGATGTTATAAGTTGAACTCAGATTTTGTGGTTGATGAATTCTGGTATGTGTATTTGTTTAAGTTAAATTTTACATATTTTTAGGAAAGGTAACATTCACATGGTACACAATTCAAAGAGCACAACAAGGCAGTATAGTGACAAGTCTCTACTACCCTGACCCCTGCCTCAGTTTTCCATCCCATAGGTAACCGTGTTAACTTTCTTGTGTATATTTCCAGAAATGTTCCATATATTTTACATGCATAAAGGAATATGTATGTATGTATGTACATAAAATTCTTTAGGTTCAAAATGTTACATATTACACACATTTCTTTCAAATATCTCTTAGAGATTATTCAATGTCAGGATATGTGGTGCTTCCTCATTCTTAGTATTCCTTTGTATGGATGAACCATTATTTAACTAGTTGCTGATAATAGATCTTAAGGTTATTCCCAATCTTCCACTATTACAAACTGAATATCCTTATCTTCATATCATTTCACACATGTAAGTATATCTATATGTTAAATTCATAAAAGTGTAAGTAAAGCTAAAGTATATGCACATTTTAAATTTTGATGGATATCAGTTCAGACTCCTATCAACATACGTAATTGTAAAAAACCTATACCCAAAGGGTCCCAAAGAGAATTTAATATGCATATTTTTTTTTAAATATATTTTATTGATTTTTTACAGAGAGAAAGGGAGAGAGATAGTTAGAAACATCGATGAGAGAGAAACATCGACCAGCTGCCTCGCGCACATCTCCCACTGGGGATGTGCTCACAACCCAAGTACATGCCCTTGACCGGAATCGAACCTGGGACCTCTCAGTCCGCAGGCCGACGCTCTATCCACTGAGCCAAACCGGTTTCGGCTGCATATTTTGTTTTGTTTCTGGATTCCCTAGTCCCTCTTCCAATAGAACTGCAGAAACAAACATAAACAGGCCTAAAAATGTTTACAAATTACCATGGCCAGAGGGCTCACTTGCCTGGTTCTCTGGCCTACACCTAGACTTGAGCTGGCTGGCTTCCTAAACTTAAAGGTCTGTAAAATGTAGAAATCTAAAGTGAGCTGCACTGAGGTATTACATAAGGTGACAATTTTAGGGGCAGTATTTGTATTTTAACGTTATTTTCAGGGAGAGCTGGGGCGGGGCGGATCTCTGATAGATAAAATTAAAGAAAAGTTGTCTTTGGGTATACTAGTTTGGGTGCCCTGACATCTTCAGGCATCTTACTGTCTACTTATTCCTCTGTTTGCCGTAATAAACTACCACCTATTAGAAGGCCATGTATTATCTCCCCATACGTCAAGGAATACTTTTGTCAGTGGACTGCATTTTAGCTCTTATCTGTAATTGTACGTGGGGTGGTGGGAGTCTGTAGCCTTTACCAAGAAGAAGAGAAGAGGTACTGGGTAAGTAGGGAGTGGAGGGCATTTCCTAGCTACTTCATCCAAGCATAATATTGACAGTGCTGCCCAGAGGTGTGGCTCAGTGGTTGAGCATTGGCCTAAGAACCAGGAGGTCATGGTTCGATTCCGGGTCAGGGCACATGCCCCGTTGGGTTGCGGGCTTGATCCCCAATGGGGAGCAAACAGGAGGTAGCCAATCAATGATTCTCTCTCATCACTGATGTTTCTGACTCTCTCTCCTCCCTTCCTCTCTGAAGTCAATAAAAATATATTTTAGAAAAAAAAATTGACAGTGCTGAGAGCATCACTCTTCTATAATTAAAGAGACAGTGGTGAGAGCATCACTCTTCTAATCTTAAAGAGAGAGACAAAGCAAGAGAATTAAATTCTTAAAAATGTAATCAAGTCAGTGTTTCATGCAAGTCACTCACTCACCAAAGACACCATCCAAGTAAATGAAGAGTTCGAAAACACTGAAAGCTATGGTTGTGTGTGCTGGGAAAACAATAGCTTTGTCCCTTCCCCTGGGATTCTGTTCATCCATAAAATGAAACTATATTAAAAAAAATAAATAACATCATTAGGGAGCATAACATGTAAGGATAGCTCTTTGGAGTAACATAACATTTCCTTCAATCCTATCAAAAGGAAACAAACAAACAAAACGAAACACTTCTCCAAGTAAAGAATTATCCTACTGGAAGTGAACTGTATAGCAGAGTTCCACATGGTCCAATGGGATCTCGATCTATATTAGGAAATAGCACTCACCACTCTCACTTATTTGGTATTGGAGCCAATGATTAGTGCTACCACAATAGCTAAGCTCTCTGGCATAGAAGCCTATGTCTTTCAACTGCAAACCAACTGTGTTTAAGTGCTAGAGCTTTTTTTAAGCCTACCCTGTCTGCTGTTCCAAAGCCCCCAAAACTTTCAGCAGCTTTCCAAAGCAATCACCAACAATTAAGATCATGCCCAAATGATCCAACGTTAAACAATTTGGTGAGCAGCTAAATGAAGGTTTTATTTTCAAAGACTTGAAAAGGTTATCATTGAACCCTGCCTTTCTAACATTTAGAAATCAAGTCATTATTTGTGAATGACAAGAACAAACATAATAATTGAAGTAATAAACACAATTACTTTTAAGACTTTTAAAAAGATTTAACATTGAAGGATGTTTAGTCACTGACATTATTTTAGAAAAATTATTATAAAAATATAAATTCAACTTTTAAAATTTAAGTATAAACTATATCACTTAAAAATAATATCAAAGAATTCAATAAAAGTATTTAATTTTTAATCTTAATACAGTATTTAAATAGCAATAGGAGGGACTCCAGTATGCATATTATTTCAGGACGAGTATTCTGTTTTCATTATATGTGTTTACAATCCAAATTTTCTTAGTTTTTTTTCACATTCTAATACAAAACCATTACTGTGTGAAATCCTATATATCCTTGCAGTTCTTTAATCTCAACATTTGACAAAATAAGTCCCATTAGAATTTGAATACTTTTTAAAAAATTCCCTTGCAGCCTTCTAATAAAAGAAGCCTAATGAGGGTGGCTTTACCCGCATGGACTCCCCACGAATTCCAGCATGCACAGACAGTGAGCACTGTCGTGTGGTTCGAATGCTTTCCATGACAACACACAATACTGCCTTCCTGCTGCTCCTTGACTGACGTATCAAGCTGTGGTCAAAATTAATTTTTCTAAAATAAACAAGAGAGACAGTCACAAGAATCTATGGCATCTGATTACATATGATCCAACACATTTTTTGCTATCATGTATTACTCATTCACAGTCTACCTTAACTAAAAGTAAATCAAGGCAGGCTTACTACAAATCAGAAAGTATGCTCAAAAGAAATTTAATAATCTGCCTCTCCGTTCTGTTTTCTTAAAACATCTTATTATAGGAGTCTATTGGAGAGACTCTTTCAGCATATTGGTTGCAAGCAGATTCCTGTATTCTTTTAATCTAATAATTTAGCAAATGTGTTCATTTCCAAAGCAATTTTGTGAACAATTTAAAATTCTCTTTAAACCAAATGATTTTGGGTATCTACTCCTATCAAAAGTTTGGGTATATTACTAATTTGCATTATTTCAAACAAATACATTACATTACTAAAACGAACCTGAATGTTTTAATAATTTATAATGAAGTTTATATAATTAAAAACTTTAATGAAAACACTGCAGTACAGTAATTATTATACTGACCGTGAACTAATTTCCTTGAGTAATGTTGAAACTTCCACTTCATGTTTAGTTACTACACCAAATGAAGCTTTTACTGCAACAGAATCTGATCCAGTAACGTTAATCCCAACATCATTCACAATATGGTTGCCTCGCCTTCCATAGAGTGAAACATCTGATTCATCTTCATAATTCAGTAACTGATAAGATGAAATACCTTTTTTAAAAAAGGAAGTTAATATTTTTCAAATGTCACTAATTATTCTAATGTAGATTACATATGGTAACATATTAATTTACTATTTAAGACTTCATTACCCACCTGTTAAGGCAAAGCTTCAAACCAAGAAATAAAAATAAAAAGTCACTCAATTAATTAGAAAACAAGAAGAAATAAATAGCTAGAGTACTTAAAATGAACTCAAATTCAACAGAACTTCTTATACATCAAGATCCGCTGGAGAGTTGAAAGAAAAACACATGCTTTTAAGAAATAATTTGTCCCAATGTCCATTTATTTCCTAACCAAGTCTGTAATATATTTCAGTTTGCCAACTGTAATAAGTAAATCATAGAAAAATAAATACAAATTATTTTCATCTCATTTGACCATGTAAGATAGGTAAGATTAAATAAAACCTCCATTTCATAGATGAAGAAATTTATTACTATGCCATTTTCTAAGCTGATCTGGTTAAAACAATTTATAAAATAATTGAAATAAAATTATACAATAATCTTATACAATAGGTTTGAAAGTTATTCAATCAATAAAGATTTGATACTATTACAAACTTCAGGCACTTAAGTTAATCATAGTAATAAAAGTTGCTTACCAGCTGAAATTTCTCTGTCTCCTAGAAGAATATCTTTCAGTGTAAAAGGTGTCGAGGTAAATTTATATCTAGGAAACAGAAAGCATCGCTTCTTTTTCACCACCAGACTTAGAGGTTGGTATTTGTCCGCTTCACTGAGGCTTGGAACAGGAACTAATCTCCCTCCATCTCCAACTTGCTTGACAAAGCTCTTGGTAGCAGCCGCAAACATATTAATATAGTATCCAATTATCCATCAACTGCAACCCTCAGATAACAAATCCATATTTGCAAAGAAAATCAGGCACAAATCTAAGCCTTACTTGATTTTAAATATAATTATACACTTTAAAATACAAAGCATGGTTCCACCAAGTAGTTTACAGTGTACAGTTCACAACACTGCCTCCCTTGGTGTGCTCAGGTGATGAATTATAGATAAACAGTGTAAGGTGATATACTAAAAGTAAGTCTAATTTGGAATTGCAGTCTGTAGCACTAAAATGTACACAGAAAACTAGTAAGTTAAAAATGCTAGCAATGTCCTTAATGAGGGTCAAGGTTAATAGTTTGCCAGTTTTGAGGGAAACAGCCCTATGGGAACAATGCAATTAGGCACTAACATTAGCCTGGACACCAGCTACCCTGTACCTAGTCCAAAAGGAATTTTGCCACAAGTCCATCATGCCAACCCTGGCAACAGATAAGTACTGTTTGGAATCCGTATGGTATATAGTTTATTGTTTCAGCATTTCATTCATTGTTCTTGTATGATTACAGCAAGTGATTAATATCAAGAGTCACAGACTATAAGGAAACAAATGTATGCAGATCTTTATAAAATACTGAATGGAAACCACATTACATATAAATAACTGTATAAACATGTAGGTTTCTTACTCTGAAGCTGGCGCATGGACATCTCTTTGAAAGGGGATCCTACTGTCTTTATTTTTATTTTGTTTCATCATTATTCCAGTAACTCAGCCTTTAAAGAGAGCTACATGAGGATTTGGCTTGTTTTTTAAAGGAATTTTGTGGCTAAAAATACACTTTAGAAACAAATCTGAGTGCTGAAATATTGTATTGCCATAGTTAGGTGGCTAGTAACAGATACAATACATATATAGAGGCGGTAGGGGGAGGAAGAATAGGTTAATTCAAGACTCAATAATATAAATCAATTTGATTAGATTCTGGGCTTTTTTTTAAACATTTACTTTCAAATATCCAGGGCTCACGTGCAAACACCCCAAAGAACAGTTTTTAATAATGTCCCCTTGTGTGAATAATCTTCCAAAACACCAAGAAACCACAGGGAGTCATTTCTGCAAGGGGCTAGCAGGTCCCTAGAGAAGCGACTGGGCATCTCACGCCGCTGTCTGACCCTACACCAAAGGTGGTGCATCCCAGGCAAACGCCATTACGACCAGCACCACAGGTGTGCAGGAACAATATTTAATGAGAATCCGGCCCACAGAAAAGCCTTCCTTTACACCTAACAGGCCTTGCTGGGATCCGCAGGCCCAGCATTTATCTCGTGACAAAAGCCTGTGAGACAATGACGCCCCACGGAGCAAGGGAGAAGGAGGGAGGGTCTCTGGACGTACTCGCGAGCGCCTAGGGCAGGGCTCCAGGGGAGAGCCCCCCGCAGCCCTCGGGAGTCTCCAGCTTGGGCCAGGCCCAGGGATGCTCTCTCTAAATTTTGCCTTTGGAATTTTGAAATCTTTGGCTTAAAGTGACGCAGTCCTCATCCTTCACCCCGCCTGAAAAAAACAAAATAAGGCTGAGCTTCAGGCCCACCGACCGTGAGACTTGCCAGCCCCACAAGCCTCTCCCGGCAGGAAACGGCCTCCTTCTAAGGACACAGAACTGAGGCCGCCAGAGGCCGGGGCACAGGGTGCCGAGAAGCCCGAGGCCCCAGGTGGGTGGGTACGAGCGGAAGCAGAGCCAGGGCTGGGAGACAGGGCGGGCCTGTAACCAGGGGGCGGGGCCTGTAACCAGGGGGCGGGGC